ATTCAAATTAGTTAATAAAAATATATTTAATTCGTAAATATTATTAATATTTTTAAACACATTTATTTATAATACATACTAACTTATTAAATTTATTTATAATTTTTTCAATTAATAATTTACTAAATTTATAATTTATTATAAATATAAGTTAATAAAATTATTATTTATTAACATTATAACTTATTACATTTATAACTCATTAAATTTATAAATTAACTTATTTTATTTATATAATACAAAATCTATTTTATTTAAATATTACATTTATTTTTTATTTTAAAAACTATGAATTTTTTTAAAAAAGATATTCAGCTTAATCAAAATAAAAAAAAAGGAAAACGCTGCTCGACATTCGGCTCCCCAGAAACCGAATTCCAATTGCCACCAATGCACATTAGGAGCCAACGGAGGAGGTCAAAATTCGATTTTCGGGGAACTAAACCTCAATAATAAATAGTGCTACTCTAGTAAATAAATTCTGTCCAGTTCCATTTTCGTAAACTATTTTTTTTAAAAAAATATTATTGTTGTACCATTGCAAGTTTCAGAAGGCCCAAAGTCCAGTATGGGTGATTTAGTAGCCCAGAACGGGTCGTTCCCTAACTGGAACGGGTCCTTCCAAACTACTAAATTGACCTATAAATCGTAGTTGAGAACGGGTCGTTCCAAAACCCAGAACGGGCCGTTCTGAATGGAGAACGGGCTGTTCTAGATGTGTAACGACCACCAACACAGAAACATTTAGCTTTGTGCTGGAAAAAAGAAATCTCTGAACTCTCTGGAGGCCATCCTATCCAATAAGATCTCCACAGAAGCAGAGATAAGTGCCTCTCCCACCATAGCTAATGCCATGTCTTCTTTTGTTCTGCAAATTGGATCAGAAAACTGAAGCTTTAACTAAATGATGAAGTTGATACATACATACTTCATACTTGTGCTAGTGAGGGGTCGTTGTATTATAATGCTAAGTCAAGTCAAAGTTCTGATTTCCCAATAAACTTAGTATTATAATCAACGCTTGAACCCCTTTGCTTTCTCGGGGTTTTTGTTTATTGCATGTTGAATCACGAAAGTGCGGCATCATTTTATTATTAAATACATACTTTCAACAAAAATATTTTCTGAGGACATTTTCATTATCAATTTTTCTTTAGAATAATATAAACTACTTATGGGAGCCAATTCTTCTGATTATAATAGTACGGTTTATTGTTGAAATCGATCCATCAAATATGTTCTATGTTATCCCTTTTACCAATAAAACATTTTATCTTGTTCTAACAGCGAAGTAAAAGTAAAATAATTCCTCCTTACTCGCGTATTCACCTTCCTCTTAGTCTTAATTTTATTTGTTTTTAAATTTAAAATTGTTTTTATCACAGTTGTAATTATGTGATTTTAGTTTTTAAATTTTAATTAAATTATTTACTTAAATATATTCTCAATCTCTTAAATTTAAGATAAATTTATTTTTAGTTTTTAAAATTAATTTTTTAGTTTTTTTTTAAATTATTTTAGTTCTTATATTCAAATTTTGTTTAAAAAATTATTAAATACTATCACACAAAATCTATCTATTGACACTAGAAATGAGAATAGATCAGGCTTTAAACAAAAATCTATAGCCTGACTTCTTTAAGATATGGTCTAACATTACCTATTTAATAAAAAAGTCAAGTTTAGATTTAAAAAAAAAATATATTTATATAAAAAAATGATACTTAGACTTATAGAAAAGTCTGTTATATTTTATAGAGCAGTCTATTTATTTATATAATATAATAATAAAAATAATATATATTATTAAAAATATAAATAACACAAATAAATTTATAAAATAAAAATAAAGCATCAATATTTAAAATATTTTTTATTATAGGTTTATAAGTTTACAACTTGTACATAAGTGTACATTAATATATATCCTCCTGATAGAATATGTCACATTGGGGATAGGCAGGATTAGTTTAAAGTGCTATTTTCATTGAACTATTTGAAAATTTAGTTTTATTTATTTGTAATTTCACTGACATGTTATTTGGATTAAGTTTATGGATAGAACTTCTTACCCTTATGTGGTTGGAGATTTGGTTTTTAAATAATTATCAAAAAAAAAATTTTATATTTATGTGTGCGGTAAAAGGTGTCACACTAGTTTTTTTATTATGATAAAAAACATGTCTTTAGTTCCTTTATTAAATTGTGGGTACTGAAGAAGATTTATGAATTTCACCTATTAAGGAACCATGTGAACAAAAAAGATTTTGTTATCAAACATCATAAATGATATAAGTTAAGAGCATATGAGTTATAGATAAAGTGCTTCATCTGTGAGACTTAATGTCAAGATAATTAAACGTCTTAAACAAATCATCTTATAAACATTCGTCTTAAAGAAAATATTTTCCCTTGAAAAAATTCTATGTATGTTATTGTTAAAACTTGAAATCCTAAGGAGTCTAAGATCGTCTTTTGACTTAACAGATAATTAATACTTTGTTAAACCATATTTTTTTAAGTGATATTTTGATTGTATTATGGTTGAAGTATTTAATTTATATTTTGGTGGGGATATAATGGTTGAACTTTAATAATATATATATAAAAAAAAAATTGATTGCATCGAAGCTATTGATGATACTCATATTCCAACAATAGCAAGGAGACAAGATGTAAGCAATTATCATAATCATCATAGAAAGATATTATAAAATGTATTAGCAACTTGTAATTTTGATTTGAAACTCATGTATGCTCTTAGCAAGTGGGACAGTTTAGGTCATTATTCCAAGTTATTAAGTGATGGTTTAATAAGGAGAAATGAACTTAAAGTATCTAAAGGTAAATATTTTTTAATAATAAATATATTTTCTTTTAACTTTTCATACTAATTTTATATGTGTTGTATATGTAATTAGGTAAATAATTTTTAGTGGATTGTGAATTTCCTAATAGACACCAAGTTTTGGTTTTTGAGGTGTGTGATATCATCTCCAAGATTTTGCAGGTCATGATAATGATTATCAAAATGAAAATGAAGTGTTCAATTTACATCATCCATTTTTAAGAAATTTGATTGAAAGAATGCTTGGTATTTTTAAATTACACTTCACAATATTTTAAATTGGCGCCTTCATTTTTATCTAAGACACAAACTAAACTTATATTAGCATATGTAACATTACATAATTTTCTTCGCAAAGAATGTCGTTATAATTAATTTTTAATTAATAGATAAATCTTCATCTTTAGTACTATCAATTAATAAAGACTATAATTTTGAAAATATTGTTCAAACTCAAGAATATGAAAGAAAATATGTCAATGCACGAAGAACTAATATAATTTTAGATATGTAGAGAAATATTAGTTAAAAAGATATTAAAGTCAATTATTTATCAAAAGATAAAAGATAATTATTTGCTAAAAAAATGTGTTGATTTTATTTTTCTTTATTATTTATATTATATTTTTTTTAATTCTTGGAACATTAAATATATTTTATAAATTCATATTTTTCTATAAATTCACAAAATCTTTTAAAATGTTATGATATAAATCTATTAAAATATGTTAAAATCTATTAAAATTTAAATTATAAAATCTTAA